TTCTGAATAGTTTGAGAAGTATCAGAGTTAGTTCTTTAAATGTCTGGTAGAATTCAGCAGTGAATCCATCCAGTCCTGGGCTTTTCTTTGTTGGGAGGGTATTTATTACTGATTTAATTTCTGACTTGGTTATGGGTCAGTTTAGGTTTTTTATGTCTTCAGTGTTCAACCACAGTTCTTTTTTAATATTACTTGAAATTAGTGATTTTTAGCTTAATACAGTCATAATGAGAAAATATTTATCACAATAATTTTGTGAGATGTTTTTCTAAGTATGGGAGCCAGGCTGCTATACACAAAAATAGACCCACCAATAAAGGTTATTCTATTAAGTTTTTAAATCAAATAATTTCTAAAATTTTAGTAACTACAAAACAGGGAAAAATTTTCACTAAACCTTACCTGATTGCCTTGTTCTTCTACACGTTATGATACATAATTCAAAAATGTTGGTCAATATTCAGGTTTATTTAGGGATCAGTTTTGTAGCCCATACAGTATTTATTCCTTCATATCAAGCATTGTTCTTGAAATTTTTAGACAGAAGGAACTAGATCTTTACTTGCATAAAGTATGCAGAATTACAAAAATGATTAATTTAGGAAAGGATTTGTTTTTTTTGAGAGGTTCTGTTTATGTCTCTTAACTCAATACAATTGATATAAAATTTTGGCAAAAAACAGGTTATAGAGAAAATACAAGGATAAACAATTCAGAAATTATTTGATATAGAAACTGTTGATAGCATATTTCATTCTGCATACACAAGCAAAATTCAAACTTGTATTACTGACATTCTCATCTACATAGTATTATCACAGCAACCACAATTTTTTTTTTTTTAATTTTTTTGACAGGCAGAGTGGACAGTGAGAGAGAGAGACAGAGAGAGAAAGGTCTTCCTTTGCCGTTGGTTCACCCTCCAATGGCCGCCGCTGCAGCCGGCGCACCGCGCTGATCCGATGGCAGGAGCCAGGATCCAGGTGCTTTTCCTGGTCTCCCATGGGGTGCAGGGCCCAAGCACCTGGGCCATCCTCCACTGCACTCCCTGGCCATAGCAGAGAGCTGGCCTGGAAGAGGGGCAACCGGGACAGAATCCAGTGCCCCAACCGGGTCTAGAACCCGGTGTGCCGGCGCCGCAAGGTGGAGGATTAGCCTATTGAGCCACGGCGCCAGCTAAGCAACCACAAATTTTAAGAAACAGAACAAACATTTTATACTAGAAAGGGTATTCAAGGAACTACTTATAGAGCAGAATTAAATGATCCAATTAAAATTGATATACAATGAGTTCTGATTGTTTTCTTGATACCTATAATTAAAAAAATGATTAAAATTTAGTTTTCCTTATTATATACTCAAATATAGGTAATGAATACTTATACCTTTTACTAAATGGAACCTAAAATTAAAAAATTCAGGAAAAAGGCTGAAATTCTTTCAATTTATTTTTTCATACACACACACACACACATACCCACCCAAAAAAAAAAAAAAAGGAAAATGCACAATACATAAAATTATCAAACATTAGAAGGCAAAACCTCAAACTTATTTTTAAGCCCTTTTCAAATTTGCTTTTGGCTCAATCTGATAATAAAATATAATTCAGACTGAAAATGATCACATTAGGGATCTAATAAACCCTGTGACTATCCTGAAAAGCTGAGTCTCCACTAGATGGAAAGTAATTGACTTCTAGCTCCACAATTTTCAAAAATATAAATCTTCCAAATTAATTCTGAAAGCTAGGAAATTTCCAAATCTCTATGGTACTACAATCTTTCCTCACTTAACAACTACATACAACCCCTACACTGGTTCCAGAGTAAGAAAATTTTAATAGTCCAATTTCACATTGTCATCTATGAAAGTGGATCTTAAAGACTTTATGACTTTCAAATACAGGTGTCATTTTTAAATACGGTAATCACCTTTTCATTTTGCCAATAAGGATTTTTTAGAAAATAAAATCTAAATTCCATCTACTATAACACGTATTTCAAAACTGAAGGATTATCTCATATCTTAGCAAAGAAAAAGAGGATAGGAAAAAAAGACACATCCTCAACAATGAGTTATTTTAACTTAATGACAAAACACATTATATATATTTTATCTGTATATAAATATTTCTCTGTGTATAATGGAATGGCATGGGTCTGTATGTGTATACTATTAGAGTATTTATAGAGTATTTAAAAACTGTTGGATTTCAAAAGATAAACTGATCAAGCCAGTGTTCTAATTTTCCTATGTATTCCTCAATTCTTATTTTCTTCATCATTTGGGGAAAGAGGAGACAGAGCTCTTTACACTGCCAGAAATCACCATCTACCTCTGGTCACTTGAACTAGTGTTAGAACTTGCAAGATGAAGCTGTCTTGCACAAAATGGGTAGCATCCAACTGCCTTACCTGTCTACAGCACCACTTGCAGGGGAGGGAGAGGAGGCAGTTCTTTAGGTAGGGCAGTGCTTCCTCCTCTTCTGCAAGCAGTGCTGGAGATGCTGTAGAAGGAAGGGCATTGTGAGAGGGGTGGCAGAAATGATGGAGGGCATGAAGACTATTGATTAAAAATACTTTTTGCCCATCTATATTAAATATGGTGCCCAAGGTACAAATGCCTAAAAAGTTGGGTACTTCAAGATCCAAAAGTGGGCCGGCGCCGAAGCTCAACAGGCTAATCCTCCGCCTGCAGCGCCAGCACACCGGGTTCTAGTCCCAGTCGGGGCGCCGGATTCTGTCCCGGTTGCCCCTCTTCCAGGCCAGCTCTCTGCTGTGGCCAGGGAGTGCAGTGGAGGATGGCCCAAGTGCTTGGGCCCTGCATCCGCATGGGAGACCAGGAGAAGCACCTGGCTCCTGGCTTCAGATCAGCGCAGTGCGCCAGCCTTGACGGCCATTGGAGGGTGAACCAACAGTAAAGTAAGACCTTTCTCTCTGTCTCTCTCTCTCACTGTCCACTCTGCCTGTCAAAAAAAAAAAAAAAAAAAAAAAAAAAGTCCCAAAAGTGGATCTGATCAACGCCAACATAAAAATGTAAGTGATGGTGGATTCTATTTCTTAAGGGGTCACTAGTATGTGCAATCTAGTATATAGATACCAAGCACACTTCAAAAATTTCAAAAATACATCTAAAAATGATCTTAGACTTAATTTCAGCCTCAATTCTGAATTTCTTAATTGTCTAGGTTCCAGTATAATACATTATCAAAATATTCGAACACTGTTTTAATTTTGTACACTGTTTCAATTTTGAAAAATATTTTCTAAAAAGATGCATTCATAAAGACTATAACTGTAGTCAATTTAAAAATTGGGTTAACCTTTAAATTCTAATTTAAATATCCTTTAAATTCTAAATTAATACCTTTTAAAATTAACAAGTTAAAATTTAATAGACTGTTAAAATTCTGGAAGACTCTACATTAAGAGTGCCAAAAATTTTAAGTAGTTTAAATTGTATTTATTTAGACTAATATTTGAACTATCTGCCTATATATGTTTTAGTTTTTGTTCTCCCAAATTAATGATAAGATCTGTTCCAGGGACTTCTAGTTCATGCTTTATTAGTCAAATAATTATATTTATAACAGATTTGTAACACAGTTCATCTAACTTTTCTAACTAAAAATAAGATGTACTACATGGTCTCTTGGGCTATATATCAATTATTCTTCTAACACAATATAATGATTTACAATTAGTCTATAATCCTGCCATGAATTTTTTTTTTACATATTTACTATACAGAGATTAAAACTAACTCAGCAGTTAAGGAAGTTATCATTCTTTTACTATACTCTTCAGTCTACAATAATCTGTCAAAATATATTTCATGTTGTGCTTATAACATTTTAATGGACTTTATTATGAAAATTCTCAACTACCTTGAACATTTAAGATTTTTAATAATGTATATATGCTTTGTAAGCTGTACCAGTAATATTATATACTCCTTCATGTCATGCCAAGGATGAACCTCGAAAGTTCGTCAAGCTAAAGTTCCTAATGACAAAATTACAGGAACAAATTCAAATCTCAAATTAGGACAAATCATAGTGTAAATTATTGGCAGGAGCAGTAACTTCAAAATATGACATTTGATGTATATAAATTTAGCATATAAATTTGTCAACAGACATATATCTTAAAAAGTGTTGATCTATTATTTATAATGCCAACACCCATTAGATAATCCAATTGTTTACATAATCAACAAAACTTCCCAATCTTTTTCAGGTACTTTTGAGCTCAAACTGGTAAACTTCCAGTAATAATATTCAGTATGATCAACCTGAAAATATAAAAGTATACTGTGGGGCTGGCGCTGTTGCGCAGCAGGTTAATCCTCTGCTTGGGACACCAGCATCCAATTGGGACACCAATTCGAGTCCCAGGTGCTCCTCCTCTGATCCAGCTCTCTGCTATGGCCTGGGAAAGCAGTAGAAGATGGTCCTAGTGCTTTGGCCCCTGCCACCCACGTGGAAGACCTGGAAGAAGCTCCTGGCTCCTGGCTTCGGATCAGCACACCTCCGACCATTGTGGCCATTTGGGAAGTGAACCAGTGGATGGAAGACCTTTCTCTGTCTCTCCCTCTCACTGTCTATAACTCTACCTCTCAAATAAATAAATTAAAAAAAAAAAAAAAGTATGTTGACTATCTATGTCACAGTTATGGAGAAGCAAGAAGATATTTAGAAATGTTCATACAATGATGTGCACATCTTCAATCTTTTCAAGAGGAGTAAGGATTTAATATGTAGCAGTGTAACTGTACATCCAATTTATGAGTAAAAATATGACAAAGCTTTTTCTGACCAGGACACTATATTGATTTTTCAGACAATCTAGTCAGCTTTTTCAAATATTTACCCATGAAACCCTAACATTTATACCAATTACGTAATTTTTAAAGTATGTATAATATTAATCTAGTTTATACTTTTGTCATATCACTAAATAAAATCATGATGTTCCTTATAGTAAAAATGTACCCACCTCACAAAATAATGTAAGCTTGTCATCTGGTAAAAGACCATTGGCTTCATCAAGCAAAAAATCCCTTCTAATGAATTTTTTAAAACCCCAGTCCTTCCCTTGCACAAATCGGTATGCTCTTTGGCTTTCTGGTAGAAAACAGAAAAGAAGCTTAAATAAAACAAGTATTTAAGAGACATGTTTCTTAATGATAGCAGTTATATGAAATATGCAGAAATTGGCCTTTATATCTCTCAAAAATTATAGATATGTGTGTTCATAAATAAAATGTCCTAAGAGTTAAGTCAGGTAGAACTGCCCCACATCACTACTCAAATTTTGACCATCATCAATAAGCTCAATTTAAGACTTCTGAGTATTTAAGTAGAAAAGCCAGATCAAATCCCATGGAGATGTGAAGAAGTTTCTTTTTTATTTAAATTGCTTTTGAAATCTAGGCCCTAAAAGGCTCTGAATTGCTTCAAAATATGTTGGCATAAACAATACTACTCCATCTAATATCAGAACCTGGTTGCAAATATATTTCTCATTTCCTGCTTCTCCCTTTAAAAATAGACACCTAAATCATCAAGGCATCTTTTAAGATCTTTCCTGGGATACTCCTTGCACTAATTTTAAGTTTTACTGAATTACAGAAAAATCCATTAACTGGTGAAAAGGCTAAAGAAATAGTCCTGCTTTAGAAATAGTCACCCTGTCCCTAGAACAACTTTCATTAAGAATCTAGAAGACTCAGTATAATTCTTAAAAGATTTAATAAGTAAATAAGACTTTTAAAAAAGTTCATAGAAAATGCATATTATGAAAAAACTATACATGGATTCCAAAATTTTTGCATCAAAGTACAATTTTTTTGCCATGAACTTGTTTAAGTATCCTTGTATCACAAAGAAATATTTCAAATTCCTCAAGTAATACATAACTGTATACTAGGAAATAAATATGATCCACTAAAGAAATTATTCATCTATTATACAAAGAACAAACTGGACGTAGACAATCAGTAATAAATCTAAATGAAATACTCAGCTATCTTAAATGACAGACAATATGAAAATATATATTACTTTGGTAATAAAACATACTACTAAAATGTGTGGAGATTTTTTTTTGTAATAAAACTACTTGATTCTGGGACTTACATCAGAAAATATTTGAAATTTAACATGGCAGCTTATAAGGTAGTTTCTTGCATACTGCACATTTCTTTTATGAAGCTTGAGGCTACAGCATTTCAGCTGGCTAAAATACATAAATCTTGGGTTGAATTTAATAGGCTCTGACACTAAGAAAAACTGACTGACTTTCAGTAAGTGTTCAGTCCATTTCTTAAGAAGTTTTAGTGACAGTTTCAAGGCATTCCATCTCATTCATACTGTTCTTCAGATTTTATGACAAAAATGGCAAGGAAGAAGAAATATTTTTAAATTCCTATTGTGCATGGCCAGGCATCAATGAGGAACCCTGTACTATTTTTCTAAGTGACAAGGGAATGTCATTTCAGAACACAAAGAAGTTAAATTTTAATATTCCTCTTATCCAGTTTTATATGTCATGACATTTAGGACTTCATAAAACAACTATAGCTCTACATTGAAATCAAAAAACTAAACAATGGTCAAATTCAAAGTTTTAGGTTAAGCTACAACTTAACTTAGATTTTAGTGGGAAAAAATGCCAAATTTTTCTAGGTAAAGGTGCAGAAGTCACAGTATGCAGTTACACAGAGACTTCTTCACTCAGTTTGCAAATCACTTACCCATTGCTTTTGTTTCTTCCCTTTTAGCGTTCAGAAGGGAAAATTTGAATTTTGCTCGAACTTCACTTTTGGGGCAGCTGACTAAAAGCAAATATAAGGACAAGTAGTCTTTACTTTCATCATCTAATCCCTTTGGGTTTACCCTCAGGCACCTAAAATAAAACAATAGGCTCACTTGGAGGAATATAATACTTGAAACATGCAAAAAAAAGAGGCAATACTGAAATCACGTCAATTATCATCACCAATAGTACTCCTGCCAACCTCCCCACAGTTCTTTACAGTTCTCCATAATACTAGGAATTTATTACCAATCTACTAAAAATTATACTAATACTCTTTCAGGAACAATAACAACAAAACCATAAACAGATTATGATCACATCAAAAACAAAAAACCAAAAATCTTACCATTTCATTTTGTCATTTGGGCCAGATGAAAATGTTGAACTTTTTAACACTTCACCCATTTCTTCTCGACAAAAACTGAAGTTATTAATGGTCCACATGTAGGAAAATTTTACTACTTTAACCTAAGAGATTCAGAAGACCACTATTATAATAACGATGATTCTTATGCTTTTAAGTTGTCACATTATTCAACATCCTATAATCTACTTTTTTTACCCTAATAACTATATTCAAAGTGTTTCTCAATAATATTCTCAAACTAATATAAAATTTAAGTGACATATAGTAAGAAAAGATTAACAGTGTATACCTGTGTATAACACCAGCTTTCTGCTATAGGACCAGTAGACATATCTCCAGGTAAAGGTGGGGTAGGTTCCCGAGACATTGCCACTTTATTATAGTCTTAGGATTTAAATAGTATCTCACACAGATGAGTACTGTACCTAAAAAGAAAAGAAGCAATTTACAGATAAGTTCAACTGACTGATCCAGCAATTACAGAAATACCCATATTTAAAGGGTCACAAAGCAATCTTTGTCTCAGATTATGAAAAAATATATGAGGAGTTCAAATAATTTTAAAGAAATAACTTATCAACCTGAAATCTAGGCAACTTTAATATTTATAGATAAGCCATTATTTTGTCAAAGTGTATTTTCCAATATATCAATCAAAAAATAAAATAAATAAGATCATTCATGAAAGCTTAGTATCAATTAATATCTGATTCACCTTCCTTTATCTTTTCAACAATCACATTCATGAAAGCCACAGAGTTGCAAAATTAGAACTACAAACACTGGTCTTTCATACATCAGATCCCATAAGTTTCCATCAAGTAAAAAACAGAATAGAATATAATAGGCAATACTCTCTAAGAACTACCTAGATTTCCACAAAAGTCTAAATCTATCTCAAATGAATTACCTGGTAAGACTTTACCCTTATCACAGTGCTTCCTATGGAGATGTATCACATAAAATTCCTATCCAGTTATCTGCTTTTGTAATATTTCCATCTAGATGCATCATTAACCCATAGTATGGTCAAGGTATTAGTGACTAGATGATACTGTCTTGCAACTTGGAAAATTAATGGAAGAAAGAATGACACTGGCAGAGTACTTTGCAGGAGCAAAGGGATTTCAAGACTACATTCCAATATATGGACTCAGGTCTGGAGAATTCTCTTTTCATTTAAGAATAATTAATGAGAGGCTGGCACTGCGGCTCAATAGGCTAATCCTCCACCTGTGGCACCGGCACACCGGGTTCTAGTCCTGTTGGGGTGCCGGATTCTGTCCCGGTTGCCCCCCAGCTTCCAGGCCAGCTCTCTGCTATGTCCTGGAAGTGCAGTGGAGGATGGTCCAAGTGCTTGGGCCCTGCACCTGCATGGGAGACCAGGAGAAGCACCTGGCCGCAGCACGCTGGCCGTGGCGGCCATTAGAGGGTGAACCAACGGCAAAAAGGAAGACCTTTCTCTCTGTCTCTCTCTCACTATCCACTCTGCCTGTCAAAAAAAAAAAAAAAGAAAGAAAGAAAGAAAGAAAGAAAGAAAGAAAGAAAGAAAGAAAGAAAGAAAGAAAGAAAGAAAGAGAGAGAATAATTAATGAGGGAAGAAAACCACATGAGTTCTATCAGGAAAAAGAAAAACTATCAGGGTAAAGGGAAGGACCTTACTCAAAATGAGGAGTAAAATATTTATTTTATCTTGACATATAAACAATAATATAAAATGGGAAAACAAAGATTGAAGGAAGATGTTGTCTGAAAAATACATAGAGGCCGGTGCCGCGGCTCAATAGGCTAATCCTCCACCTGCGGCGCCGGCACACCGGGTTCTAGTCCCGGTCGGGGTGCTGGATTCTGTCCCGGTTGCCCCTCTTCCAGGCCAGCTCTCCGCTGTGGCCAGGGAGTGCAGTGGAGGATGGCCCAAGTGCTTGGGCCCTGCATCCGCATGGGAGACCAGGATAAGCACGTGGCTCCTGCCTTCGGCTGCAGCGCGCTGGCCGCGGCGGCCTGGAGGGTGAACCAACGGCAAAGGAAGACCTCTCTCTCTGTCTCTCTCACTGTCCGCTCTGCCCTAAAAAAAAAAAAAAAAAGAAAAAAAAAGAAATAAAAACAGCTAAAAAAATCAAAATATTTACTAGCAATTGTGAATAAATACACAACTAAACATTTGCATTAGAAATAAGAAATGTATTTAGCACTGGGGGAAAATATACCACTGTAAAATTTTCTGAATCAAAGAAAAATGATAAATAGAGATCACAGATATCCAAGACAGAGAACAACATCAAAACTACTTGGAGGCTGTGTTATGGGTAAACAGCTGCTTGTAATGCCAAGTAAAAAGCTGTTAGAACTGATAAACCAATTCAGTAAAGTTGCAGGTTACAAAATCAACATTTAAAAAAACCCAGTTTTTTGTATACACTAATGATGAACTCAGTGACACAGAAAACAAAGAAATCACGTTCAAAACAGCCCCCCCCACGGAAACCCTAAATATTTAAGAGTAAAATTAACCAAAAAAGTGAAAGATCTGTACAATGGAAATTATAAAACACTGACAAAAGAAATCATCAAGGACACAAAAAAATGGAAACACATTCCTTGTTCATAGATTGAAAAAATTAATGTCATTAAAATGTCTATACTACCTAATGATACCTACAGATTCTATGCAATCCCTATAAAATATTAATGACATTCTTTACAGAATTAGAGAAACAATCCTAAAATTCATATGGAATCACAAAAGACATAAATAACCAAAGCAATCCTAAGTATAGATATGGAAATAAAATCCCCTCAGCTGGAGGGCATCATAATATGGTGGCATCATAATATGTGACTTCAAAATATACTGCAAAGGTATAGTAACTAAAACAGTAAAACAGCATGGTACTGGCATAAAAACCAACATAGCCAATGGAACAAAATAGAGTGCCCAGAAATTAATCCATGTATATAGAGCCAACTTATTTTTGACAAAAGTGCCCAGACTACACACTGGAGAAAGGATAATCTCTTCAATAAATGGTGTAGGCAAAACTGGATGTATTTATGTAGAAGAATGAAGTTAGATCCATACTGGAATGGAGTTTCCAGCTCCTGGCTTCCTTCTGGCCCAGATCTGGCTGTTGTAGCTATTTGGGAAATAAACTGGAAGATGGAAGATCTCTATCTCTCCCTCTTTGTTACTCTCTCAAATAAATAAATTCATTTAAAAAGCCTACTAAATAGAAGCTTGTTCTACAAGGCACCAAAACAGATTTGTAATTATAAATTAAAGATAACAGAAGCAGATTTTCCTGAGTTGAATAAACAACTTAGTATATATAAACAAACTCCACAATAACTAACCAAAATAAGAAACCACCACTGAAATATATTTTTGTGAAATTCAAAAAGAGGAAAAAAAATGTGAAAGTATGAGCAATCTTCAGTAAATTCATGGAAAATTCACATTATGAAAAAACTATGCACGGGTTCCGAATGCTTTTTTTTTTTTTTTTTTTGACAGGCAGAGTGGACAGTGAGAGAGACAGAGAGAAAGGTCTTCCTTTGCCGTTGGTTCACCCTCCCGCGGCCGGCGCGCTGCGGCTGGCGCACTGGGCTGATCCAAAGCCAGGAGCCAGGTGCTTATCCTGGTCTCCCATGGGGTGCAGGGCCCAAGCACTTGGGCCATCCTCCACTGCACTCCCTGGCCACAGCGGAGAGCTGGCCTGGAAGAGGGGCAACCGGGACTAGAACCCGGTGTGCCGGCGCCGCAAGGCGGAGCGCCGGCCCCGAATGCTTTTACAAGAAAATAAATTTCTCTCTCAATTCCATTTTTCCTGAAATTGTCTGAAGCACCTTCATATAAATGTTCAAAGAACATATACAAGGAACAAAAACCAAGATGGCTAACATTTCTCTTCACTCCTGAAAGTCTAAGGAAAACAATATAATTACTACAGAGTTCTAAGAAGAAAAATGCTATAGCTTAAGGGTTTTTACACTGAATCATTTTTGTTCATGTTTAAAAGGTAAAAACGCATTTACAGATATATGAATTATGTTTTCTACTCTCATAATTATTTGGTGGGGGTGTAGTTATTTCCCAAAGACAGAGGAATCAAAATGAAAAATAAAACCTCTCTAATAGAGAGCCTTCTGATTTTTATACCACTAAAAATATACAACAAATATGCTTTAATACTGAATAGAAGGAGGGCTGGTGCTGTGGTGTAGCGGGTAAAGCCACCGCCTGCAATGCTGGCAACCCATATGGGCGCCGGTTCGAGATCCGGCTGCTCTACTCCCAATACAGCTCCATGGTATAGCCTGGGAAAGCAGCAGATGGCCCAAGTCCTTGGGCCCTCTGCACCCACATGAGAGACCTGGAGGAGGTTCCTGACTCCTGGCTTCAGATCAGCACACCTCCGGCCGTTGTAGCCATCTAGGGAGTGAACCAGCGGATGGAAGACCTCTCTCTCTCTTTGTGTAACTCTTTCAAATAAATAAATAAATCTAAAAAAAAAAAAAAAAAAAAAAAAAACTGAATGGAAGAGAAGGTGCTGTGGTGCGGCAGATAAAGCTGCCGCCTTCAGTGCCGGTATCCTGGCTCCCAGCCAGTTCGAGTCCCAGCTGCTCCTCTTCCAATCCAGCTCTCTGCTAAGGCCTGGGAAACCAGTGGAAGATGGCCCAAATGCTTGGGCCCCTGCACCCACATGGGAGACCTAGAAGAATCTCCTGGCTCCTGGCTTCAGATCGGCCCAGCCCCAGCTGTTGTGGCTATTTGGGGAGTGAACCCGTGGATAGAAGACCTCTCTCTCTTTCTCTCAACCTCTGCCTCTATGTAACTCTGCCTTTCAAATACATAAATATTTTTTTAAAAAAACTGGACATGTAAAATATAATTATTGTATCAAAACAAATAACAGAATAAAATTTTCAATGATTCTTAAAACAGGGACTGGTATCACGGTGCAGCATGTTAAACTGTCACTCATATTGCCAGCAACCCATAGCACAATGCAGTTCTAGACCAGGATCCTTCACAAACAATCCAGCTTCCTGCTAATGCTCCTGAGAAGGCAGCAGAATATGGCCCAAGCACTTGGGCCCCAGCACCCACTTGGGAGACCAGGATGGAATTCCTGACTCCTGGCCTGGACCAGACCTGGCTGTTGTGCCATTTGGGGAATGGACCAGTAGATGATAGCTCCATCTCTGTCTCTCTCTGTCCCTATCTCTGGTGCTCTGTCTTTCAAATCAATAAATGTTATTTAAAAATGAAATAACTGGGGCCAACGTTGTGGCACAGTAAGTTAAGTCACAGCCTGCAGTGCTGGCATCCATTATGGGCACTGGTTCATGTCCTGGATGCTCCACTTTAGATCAAGCTCCCTGCTAATGCACCTGGAAAAAGCTGCAGAAGATGCCCCAAGTGCTT